CCCACATACACAGACATATATTTTTTTTTGAAAGATGTTAAATACAGTCATACTATATTTTCCTGATACAAAGCAACAACAAAAAAGTTTATTGCAGCATTACTGCAAATTACAAAAAAAATAATTTAAATCTATATACAGTATGTTTTTCCTATATATTGCTGTAAATGTTGAAAGGGCAAGTAAAAATCTACTGGCACGCAAAGTAAAGTAAAGTAAAATGGATTTCTTGGTGGCTTTGATCTCCTACATGTTAGACAGTAGACATCACAGCAAATATCCAGGCAGTGCAAAAACCGCATACAATATAAATGTAAAGAATAAATATACTACACAACAGGCAATCAACACTAAATAAGATTAGAATGTGTGCCTGTAAAAAGTATATTAAAGTACAACTCTGTGTAGACTATGAAATTATGGGTAAGAATATAGAGACTATATAAATATACACTATTCAGGTGCAAAGTTCAGATGTGTAGTGGAGAAATGAAAAGCAACTAGCTATTACCAAAACAACTCAGTATTGCAAACTGCCAAGAAGAATCTATTCTTCAGTCTATCCTTTCATGGCTTATGTAGCTATGTATACACTTACAGTTCTGCATTCCATTTAATATTTTTAAAAGATCAAAGGAAATTTACAAATAAATGAGAACAAAAGAAATTGTCTAAAGAAATTTTTGGAATAAAATGATGTTATAAATAATGTCAACATTATATGGTATATATACACTATAAACATTATATATAGGTTAACTTATGCCCACCATTCACCATTTTCAATGAAAATTTTTTTTATAAAATAATAACAATTAAAAAGTTAAATTAAGCTCATATGTACTCTTACAACAACAACAAAAAAAGAACTTCTGAAAGCCATTTGAACGGCTTCACTTTGTTTCCAGGCTGTTCACAGGCTAAGGGTAACACTGTGTTCTCGCTTTAGTTGTCAGCTATGCTACACTGCTTGAGCAAACCGTCGAATGTGACACGCTGTTCTCTGTCTCACTGTCTGTATCTCTTTCTCTCTCACTCTCTGGCCGGTCATCCGAAGAGGAGGCAAACCTCACACTTTCTTCTCATCCAGCACTCAACAGCACACAAAACAAAACAAAAATTCTACACTGCAACACACAGTAAAGGCTAATATGCGTCACTGCACACCCAAATGATAAAACGAAGAGGAATACACGGTTACACAGAAGGAATTATATGATAAAACACAATATATTATTATTATTTTACATTTCTTTCTATATTTAGCTGTGAAATCCACACAAATGTGTGACAAAGAATCCTTAATCCTTAAAGAATCCTTAAGACATACTTTTCAAAAGGTACAAAACAAGAATCTGAACTATTCAAAGTAAACAATAGCACCATTTCACACTGTCCTTTTGAATTAAAATGAAGAATAAAGAAATTTGGTTGACACTCTTTAAGAAGATGATAATGATGATGATGATGATGTCTTTTTGTCTTCTAATATATAATTGCAAGAATCTGAAGTACACGTTTTAGGAATAAATGAAGGGCGAGGTGTACTTCTGAATAACGCATGTGAGAAAACACAAATCTCCACATGCAGTTCTGGACGCGTTAAGTGCCACTTAAATTCACGAAGCGCCACGATTGCCGGAGGATATTTGTTTCATCAAAATGAAACCAATCATTCAGTGCAAATCACAGAGAATAAAGAGTTTTACCAAATGTTAAAAAGCAGCAGCTGACAATCCACCTGTCTTTATTCAAATACAACAATTAAAGAGTTTGTATGCTGTTTGTATGTAGGCGTGAGTGTGTGCCGGTGTGGAAGTAAAAGTAAGAGACTCGTGTACTCACAGTTTGAGCTGTCAGGTCACTCAGGTCTGGTGCTGTATCACAGGCTCATCTTTTCACTGTTTATCCCACCACAGGGCAGACAGAAAGAGAGAGAGAGAGATGGGGGGGGTATTTCCTTTACTCCAGCTCTGTTCACATAAGTACAACTGAAAAGAGAGGGTGGGAAAAAGAGAGAGAGAGAGAAAGTAGGATGGTTTTCGATTCGTCCTGCTACAAAGCGAGCGTCAGATTCAGTAGTGCTGCTTCTTTGGTGTGCCGCGCGTGTCTTCACTCATAGCCGAGAGCCCGTTGCGGTCAACCACACGCATTTGTGGTGTGTGTATGTGTGTTTACGTTCACACAAGCGGTGGGGGAGTGTGTGTGTGTTGGGGAGGGTGCTTGGGCTTTCACTCACTGGCTGCGCCTTACACTGTAAGAACACATCAGAGATAGAGAGGGAGAGGGAGAGATGAGGGTGGGAGGGACGGACAAGGAGGAAGAAGGAGGAGGAGAGACAGAACGCGGAGGTGGAGAGGATGCACTGACAGTTTCACGCGAGCCCTTCTTGGAAGGCTCCGACCGCTAACGCAGGCTGACAGGTACTGAACGATAGAGACGAGAGGCAGCTATAGACCTCTATTATTTTCCGCCATCGCTCCCTCAATCTCTAATCCACACTAAATTTATACCATTTCTCCAAAGCAATACATACAGGCACATGCACATTCTGCAATCATATTTTTTTTTTGTCTTGTACTGCAATAAAAGCATGCATGCAGTTAAACTTTATCACCATATACAAATACACTTGATGTTTGATTTATACCATGCAATTTCCACATTTGTATGCTTATCAGTGGGAAGTGGCCCGGAAGGTTTAAAAACAATATAAAACCAAAATGTGGTTCATAAAAGAGTTTCAGTATTCTATTCTGGGAAACGTCTTTAACTGATTAAGGATATAAAGTGTGGAAACTCAATGGCAGCCCTGTGGGCCCCTGAGCGCTCAATGCTGTCAGGGTAGACTACACACCACTGATTTCAATTAAAAGCTAAATTAGCCATTTGAACTCTGATCTTAGCACTGTGATGTAATCCATGACTTGCTATCAGAGAATGTGTCCCATCAATTACACCTGGTACTACTTCACTACTTCATTAATGCTTTAGCGCTATTGTCGTCGGCAAAATCAATGCAGCTGATGTTGTTGCTGTGGTAATTGTTGCTGTCCTCGTTGCTGGCTATCAATATCATCATCAGAGTATGTTGCATAATAAAACAGTTATGAATTTTCATATAGTATAATATATTATATTATATTATAATATAATATAATATAATATAATATATGTTAAAAAAATATGGTAAAAATAGTAATATTGTGAAATATTATTAACATTTTAAATAACTATTTTCTATTTTAATATATTTTAAAATGTGATTGCAAAGCTGAATTTTCAGCAGCCATTAGTCCTGTGTTCAGTGTCACATGATCCTTCAGAAATCATTCTAATATGCTGATTTGATGCACAAGCAAAACATTTCTTATTATTGTTAATGATGAAACAGCTGTGCTGCTTAATGTTTTTGTGGAATTTTTTTTTTTTTTAAATTAATCAGTTTGATGAATAGAAAGTTCAGCTTTTTCTTGAAAAAGAAATCGTAATCAGAAATTGTCTTTTTATTGTCACTTTTGATCAATTTAATGCATTTAAAATAAATCTTACTGACCCCAAACTTATAATATATAATAATATATCTGCCACTTTAAAATATTTAGAAATATCTATATCATTCATTTATTAACAAAATGGCCCATGCATGACAAAAACCTGTTTGAAACATTTTACTCATTATCAATTTAAATAAAAGCCAACAGTGTTTAATTTGAACAAATTTGCATTAAAGGTGGGGTAAGCGATTTCTGGTAGCCAATGTTGACATTTGAAATCACCAAAACAAACATGCCCCTACCCCAAAAGGTCTCACCCCTATTTTGATAGCTCCGCCCCACATATACGTACGCAACCCACTCCAGCGCTGGAAAGCTGATCCGATATTTACATGGGTCCTACTTCTTGCCTTAAGCCTTCATCTCTATCTTTCTGTCGCTCGGCTCGGCTAATGTCCGTCCTGTGCCGTGCACTGAACGCTCTCTCCTCCACATCATGAGTAGACATGCCCCTTGCTGCTGATTGGCTGCAAGTTTGTTTTGCTACTCGGCCCGAATCAGTTTTCAAAAGCGTTTTTGAAAAATCACTTACCCCACCTTTAATTAGCTCTTTCTGAGCAGCTCAAACTGATTTTTAAAACAGCTAGAAGATTTAGATGGACAAAAATACCTCAAAATATGTTTTTAAAAGCAAAACAACAGTTTAACTATCTAACACACATTTTGCAAGAAAGCATCTGAATGGACCCAAAGTTCTTAATTTTTTTATAATAAAAAAAACAAACAAACAGGAAACCACAGGAGCAGTCAGACATACATACATACAATAAAGCCCCAGTGTTTTCACTCATCCACAGTGTGGATTCCCAGCAGTCACTAATCATATCCTGTTAACGCTGTGGGCCTGAAATGGATCCCAAAGCAGCGGCCAGCTCAACATGCCACTAAATTGGGATTTCCCCACTCACATCTACCCTTCTCTCAGCCCCATCACCGGCACTCAGCACCTCCATTAACAGGTTCACGCAGGTGCCCTCAGCTTCCACCACACCACTACACAAAGAATAACAATAGCAGACATTATAGAGAGAATAATGGCATTAATAGCAGACTGCAGCCTCTCTCTTAGCTAATTGGCTTGTCTGCTAGCAGCCTCCACTCCAAGGGTCATGGGATTTTGTGGGTGGCATCTGTAAATAGCTAATCAGCTCCCCAGGCGCTCGCTACACTTCAGAAAGTATTTATTTTGAATTCGTAATAATAACGGGAGGAGGACTATCGGGGAGGGGTCTGGGGGGACCATGCCGGGGGGGTTGTTGGATAACAACGTATGGCTAAGATAACTGCCAGAGACAACAGAGGCGAAAAATAAATAATGAAGCGCCGATTGTTATTCCTGCGCAGCCAACAGAAGCTGTTTGAAGTGCAGACTTGCCTTTAGCTTGTCACACTGCAAGAAGAAGAAGAAGAAAAAAATTGCCAGCCCAGACGCAATAAAGATGTCTTTGACACTTTTGGAGAATGACTAACAAGATTTGAGGTGTGAGGGGGGTGAAGTGGGGTAAACTAACATGGCTGCTGAAAACGTAAGGATGTTTCAGGGAATGTGGTGATATGGTATGCAGATGTGATTGGTAAGACAATGATTCACACGTTTCCTGATAATGTCAAGCTGCCAAAACAAGGGGAAGTGACAGGCCACTCTCAGCTGATCTGATGTCGTGAGGAGAAAAAAACTCAGAAAGAGACGGACTGAGATGTTATATCAGCTGTTAGGGTGTGATTCGTAAGGGTTCTCGTCTTACCACATTCGTGGTAAATGTTGATTACCACCAGAGTTACTATAGTCAACTAAAAACTATTTTTAAAAATGTTTGTTACTTGAAATAAAATAAATGGTAACTATTATAAAATAAAATATGAAATAAACTTAACCTTATTTTATTTCAGCTAGTTTCCAAGGCAACAATTCTCATTTAGTTTAACTTGATGTACTAAAATAAAAATGAAATAAAAATGAATAACAACTATATAGACACAAAAAACTAAAAACAATCATGTAAAATTGCATCCCAAAATATCAACTACAATTAAAATGAAAACAAAATATAAACATTGAAAAAAATTCAAAATATTCATAAAAACCCTAAAATTATCTCAATAATACTAATGACACTGATTACCACAAAATTTAATTTTGTTCCTACTTTTCTTGAATAAGAAAAGAGAAACATCTGAGATAGAGTGAGGAACTTATACGAAAAAGTGAAGGGGGCCAATTTGTAAACATTAAAATGCTCATAATTTAAAATATATAGCCGCAATGTGCTAACATGATTTTAGTGTGGGGGAACAAAACTTTTTTTATCTTTTCATTGAAAGTTTAATTAAATTGTACAACTTTGTTGCCATGACAATGCAATGCTATCAACCATATAAATAACAAGAACAACTTTATAGTTCAAATAAAACAAGTTTTAACAAGAATTAATTTAAAAGTGATCTTATTATATAATATAGTATTAATTATATAAGCTTCAAAAAGATGCATTTAAATGCTCCCAAAACTGGCCCCAAATGCTGTTGACTGAGCTTAATTTGTAGTATACCCACATTATTCCTTTAACAGAATCCTGACTATCTTTCTGAAATGAAAATACTGCTGAATATGCCCAAAAATCCTCCTAAAAATTCACAATCCAGTTATCATGAGGTTTGACCATTTTTTAGACTCCTATAGGGCTGCTGTCTTTCTCTGTTCCATCCTCGCTTTTGACAAGTGTGTGTGTGACTCACAACCAGTCACATCCTCAAACTGATCGCTCTACGGCTCTATACTTCCCTGAACACCACCACATTATACTGCTACAATGCTCTCACAATCGCTCCAATTAAGCCTGGGCGAATCACACCGTGCCAACCGCAGCTCAGCTCCAGCACACAGACAGCTCAGCAGCCAATGACATTATACATGTCTGAGAGTGGGTTACAATATTATACAAAACATTATCACTTCTCAGTAAAAGTCTTGTGATGTTTTGATGTTAGCTTGAAATGATATACTGATGTAGGTTCTCCTCAGCTCCAAATTACCTTGCAATTATGGTATCACCTTTGTCTCTCATTTTTCTACAAAATTTACTTAAAAGAAATAAATATTAATAAGACAATGGACCTTGTTCACTAAACATACACACACATTTTCTATACCTTTTGGTAGACTTTGCTTTACTTGATCTTGCTGCGAAACATCCTCTATCCTGTGAGGCCAACAGAAAAACAACAATAGGAAATCATTTAGAGGCAGAAGTTTGGAAAAACACTGTTTTTTTTTTTTTGGCACACATTTGTTACAGAAGTGTTGCTGTTGCGCTTCCACAAACTAAATCTCAGTTACACCAATTACACATCGCACCACAAAAGACACTATGTGACCCCATTGAAATTTGAGCAATCTGTATTGTAAATGCCCTCTGCACAATGTGCATTTTCCTTGTTCTACTTAATAATCTTTTAACTGGCTCCACACTAAATCAGCAGAGGTGTGTGTTTGCACGTGTGCCGTTGTATGACTGTGTGTGTGTGTTGTTCCGTGACCCAGAGGCAATGTGCAGCGAGAGGTCCTCTCGCCCTGATGCAGAGAGAGATGCTCCAGAGTGGAGGCCCTGATAATATCAGGATAAC